ACAGGTACATTTCATATATATATATATATATATATATATATAATATTATTATCGGTTATCGGTATCGGTCTTGAGAAGCAGGAAGTTATCGGTATCGGTTTCAAAAAACCAATATCGTGCATCCCTATAAATTATAATATTAAAGGTCTCCTATCATGCAAAATGCACTTTGTTATGTCGTTTATACATAAATATGTGTCCCCGGAGTGTCAAGGAACCTCTCTCTTTTCATCCGTACCAAAATCTAAAAAAATTGGGGTACAACAGAGCTGATCCAGATTTGTGGCTGATATGACGTAATATCGGAAATGTGGCCTGGCTTAAAGTTTACGCCAAGGCCCTATCAGAAACGTTGCTATCAGAAACAATGCGTGACGTGTTTTGGACGTGATATGGTCTTTGTTTACATTAGCAAGCATTGCTAACACTCAGAGCCAACCTGTACTGGAGAGAGTATGTGTAAAAAAAGCAGGAAATAAAAAGGAACCCATATTGTGGTAAACCCGCAAGAGAAAAAATCCTTGATACGGTTTTGAACATGATATGGCATTTAATCACGGCAGCATTTAGCTGAGTATCTTGGTAGAATTCTCCCGCTACTGTTTTTTTTTTTTTTTAAGGTACGGACTCAAAATCAGCAGTTCTCTAACAGGGCTGAAATAACGGGGTATGATGTCTGGCTAGAATGGTTGATCTGTTTGGTATTTTGAGCAAAACACTTCAGAGACATGTTTTTTTTCTATATCTGAGACCTATAATATATGCCTAAAAATAGTATAATAGGAGACCTTTAAGGTCAAATCAAGAGGTTATTTTAGCTATCCGCATAACATGGCTTCAGTGCAGTAAAAGTGTTTAAAGGTTCACTGACCCAGGCTGGAAGTTGGAGCTGAAAGCAGACGCAAAGCCTGGTAAAACCGGCGATGATGATGGAATTCCAGCTGCGGCTGCTGCTGACGCTACTGAAGAGGCCGAGGCCCCCTGCAGTCCCATGAATGAAGACAACACAGGGCTCCCAGCACCGTGCCCTCCTGAAACCCCCAACCCTGGGTAGCCAGCTGGGCTATGACCGGGCGGAAGGCCTGGGAACATAGAGGTGGCAGAGGTGAGGCCCAGACCGAAAGGGGACCCTCCACCGGGGGCAACGTTGTGAGCCAGGCTTTGGTACATGGAGGCTTGTTGATGGTTAGACATGTTGGAGCTGGGAGGCATGGATGGAGGCATGGAGGAAGGAGGGAGTGAGGGGAAGTGGGATAGGCCAGGATAATGAGAGGGTGCTTGGCTGGAGGACAGGGCTTGGAGGCCGGAGATAGCTACTGCATTAGCGAGTGATACTTGAGGAGAACCTGAGGGGTGGGAAAGACCAAAGGAACGGGCCAGGGCCGCCTGCGCAGAACCTGGAACCACAAGAGAGCTCACAGACGGGGTGCCGGAGCGGGACGTGCCCTTGAAGGCAGAGTGCACAGGGCTGTTGCTGCCACTGTTGCTTCCCCCAGTGTGTCTTTTCAGGACCCCCGCCTGCATGATAGCAGCCTGAATCTGTGCAGAGTGAGCCGGGGAGGGTTTGGGACTGAGGCCTTGGGAGGAATTGCTCGGATGAACTGGAGTGGAGGGTCCAGAGGGCGTGTAACTTCGGATCACTGACCCAGAGGGATTACCTGCTTGTAGGTGCATGCCAGGGTGGCCGAGTCCCGACTGGTGATCTGCGGACTGAGAAAACGCTCTCTGCTGAGTCGAGCCCATGGAGTTCGTCTGGGATAATGGGTCGGGGGCGCCGCGGGAGGCTGGGGTGCCCGGTCGGGAAATGGCGTGGAAGGGGGAAGGGGAGTAGCTCCTGCCGGGGACAGGGGTTCCACAAGGAGTGCCTGAAGGGGTATGGGCTTTAATGACAGATGAAGGTGTAGGTGTAGAATGGCCACTGGGGGTCTGAGGACCGGCTTTGATCACAGATGGGGATGGAGCAGGCGAGAGAGAGGGGACATTAGGGTTGTGAGAGGGCACCATGCCGGGGAACACTGGTGTGATAGGGGTCGTGGGAGGAGGCTGAGCAGGAGAAGCCTGATGTGGGTTAGGGGTTGAAGGCGTGGACCCATGAGGAATGAGGAGGGGCCCGCTTTTGACTCCAGGTGTGGTGTGCAGAGGATTGCCTGGCTTGGCGTAACCTGGAGGGAGAAAAAGATCAGAGTTAGTGAGGAAGTCTTTTAAAATAATGCCTTCTTGTATCTGACATAATCAAAACTGAAATACAAAATGAAAACACGGTTTGATTTAATAATTTTTGGTTTTAATTTCTGATGTAGCGTTATTTTTTCATTCCAAAAGAAAGAGGGAATATGTTCAAAACCAACAAACTTTCGTAGAAGAAGCAATCCACTCACATCTTAAAAAAGAGGAGACACACAGCAGGAGGAATAGCCAAAGAGAGCAAGCCTGCATGTATGCCAACACTGCTACTGACATTTGTAAACTTCAAACCACGTATCTCCCCAAAGGCCCTGAAAGATGCATTTCAACTGTGAAAACTGATGAGAGAGTGCGTTCAAAAACAAATGTCAACCCAAGCGATGCATGTTAAATGCCAGCACATAGCGATGATTCAAGAAAAAAAGATTAAGGACATTAGTTTGAAGCTATTCCCAGTCCAGGCGCCCACAGACTCATCCCAGTTCACTAAAGCATACTCTACACCGACTGACCAGAAAACAGTTTTTGACCACGGTTATAGATATTTGTTTGAAGATATCATCCTGGGATGTTGTGTGATATACAGTAATGTAGTTCCATTGAGTTGTAATAAGCCAAAATCCCCCTAAAAAATATGATATAAACGATGTATGGTGCGAAGGGGGTTTACTTTTCTGGTCACTCAGTGTACTCCAGAAGTAAGAAGCACATTCTCTATCAGATCATCGCTTTTCAACACTTGAGAAATGCAGGTAAGCAGCATGCCAGCTAGTTGGGCAGCAAGCTTCAAAGAGTGCTTATTTTTCTGTCACACACACACAAGCTTCTATCGAATCATACCTGCTACTTTGTGGGTGGAGTTGTAGGAGGGAGGGGCCACGCTGGATGTTATAACCCCTCCCATAGAAAGAAGGCCTGCGTTGTTGTACGCACCTGAGTAGCAGTTGCAAATATTAACAGCATCCACCACACACAGCTGTAGTAATCACACACAAACTACCTGAACCAAAACAAAAAGTCTTATTGTAACTCAAACCACTCAAAGCAGCATAATGAGTTCCTCCTGTATCTAACATATCTGTGTTATCAGACAACTTGCAAACAGTGATCGATTACAGGGTGGGGCGGGAGAAGGTAGGCATTAGGGTGTGTGAGTGGGTCTTTTCTTACTTGGTGCGATGGTGGCATGTGGGCGGCACGGGGGTATAGGGTATGGCACAGGCCGATGAGGGTTGTAGGTCGATGGAAACTAGAAAAAATATAAGAAGAAGTAACAAAATATTTAAGTAAAGAACAACCTCTGTCTCGTTCTCTGATTCCGAAATGCAAGTTTTCAAAGGCGATAAAAGTAAAAAAAAAAAAAAAGATTGAATACATTGGTGATATAACGGAGTAGAAACCACAGAGTAAATATAACACATTTCAAACCAGTGCTCTTGATGGTCACTTTAAAGCTCAACAAATCAGGCATTATTATGCAACATAATGTGGTTGCTTTGTATATAATTTTCCCACAGTCCAAGCTGATTTGTATTAAGAGAAACAGAAGTTCAAACATTTCCATGCGTTCCATTTTTATATAATGAGTAACCGGATATTTGACCTTACTCATATTTACTCATTTCATTCTGTATGCATAAGCATTATTGTGCGTAGGCCCTCTATTGTACAGTCTTTAATTCAGCCCATTTACCACTCTTGCTGTCATATATCAATAGCTTATATAACCATGACTTGACATAGAGGTTGTTTTTTTATCAAATGAAAAAAATATAATTGGTCATGCGAGGCCTCGTCATAAGGTTTCTCTGGGGACTCCATGCCTAATTACATCATCTCAGGAGTAACCATTCTTACAGGTTTGAACGGTCCAATAATACGAGCAGAAATTCCTTTCCCCTCCATATTGTTCGAAGTGTCCTCTTTCTTCTCGCCTTCTTTCTTCACTGGGGGGATTCCCTGTGACCAACACAATACATTTTTTTAAAACACACGCAACTTTTGAGTATTATTTATTGTATCAATTAGTAATCATTATTTGCCACTTTTTTGCTGTCTTCCAGTCAAAGAAATAAACTCAGTGTGTCATTTTCTACGCCACAGAGTTTTAACCTGATATCAACAATAACATTACTTCTTCAGCTTTCATATGTTATATGCACAATGTTGATAATTACAACTTTAGTTTACAGTATTCAAAGTAAAACGTAGATTACAAATCTAATTAAGATGTATTCTAAAGCCCCTAAATAAAGCATAAACGGCATCTTTAATTCATTATATGGTGGTGGCCATGCATATACTCACAGGGAATGTGCCAGTGACCAGGCTGGGTTTGCCTTTAGGGTATGGATTTCCAGGTATCATACCACAGGAGGAGATCATGGCAACAGGAGCCTTGCAGCCAACCTTGCATACCTGGGGAAACAGAGGTAGTTTTATATTAGAAGAAAAGTGTGTGTTTGGTTGTGTGTACAGCATACAATAAACATAAGATCAATATTAGAGATTAGGCATTAACACATTCTGTACTGCTATTGTAAAGCTTAACTTTAGATGGTTTTATTGTTTTTTAATTGCATCAACTGCTTTGCCCTATACATTTCGCTAGGCAACAGTTGTTCCTCAGGGCTTACGGGTACCAAAGGGATTCCACAAGGTAATTTTATACTAAGACACACAATTAAAAAAAACAGGGTTTCTACACACAACTTGCAAAAGTGAACTCACTTGCTCCAGTATCCTGCGAGCCCGCTTCTTCTCAGACAAGTGTATGCGAAACAGATCCTCCACAGGACGATAATTCTGAGCATCTGAAATGTTCCTGTGTGGTTCAAGAATGGGAACAAAAATAAGTAACCAATTAGTCAAACCAAAGCGGTTGATATTACAGCAAAACATTTCACTTTAAGTGTTTTAAAATCCATTGAGGGTGCTCAAATGCATTTTCAAAATGTACTCACAAAGCTATTAGTTCCAGGACAACCAGTCTGTCCTTAGAGAAGGTGAAGCAGTTCAGGATATTTGCCACTTTGGTTGTAGGGATTGCAACCATTTTCTAAAAGGCAACAGAACATATTTAACGTTAACACTTAAAAAAAATACAAATCACAGAGGTGGGGATTTTAAAGAGAATATTAAACTTTCAACAGCATCATTTATATTGATGTTCTAGTTGTTCTAACAGAAATAAATTACCTCAGTTTCTTGAAAACAAATGTGGAAATGTGGAACACACATTTTGAATTAAAAACAGAAGTTACTCACATGCTGAAGAGCTTTAACTGCTTTGATCTGTGGCTCTGCCCATGAGAAATACTTCAGTATCTCCATCACCTGAAGATGTTCAAGACAGTGTTACAATGTACAAAAGAGCTGTATACAGTAGGTTTAGTATGAATTAAGTAGTACTGCGCTGCCAACTTTATTTGTCAAAAAGATATATCAACACTATAGGCTATGAGTGTTCCTATATCAAGTTGTTCGCATGAAAACAACTACTGCGAAAACATTGTAATGCTGTATGTATTGATATAACATAACACACCATAACAACAACAATTGTTCCATTTACCTAATAAATACATTTTAAAGTCGACCTATAAGTAGCGTTGGTTAAATGTAAGCAATAATACAGATATTAAAAAGGAGGGCACATGAGTGATTATGAAGACTATCCTTTTATTTAATGTCTGTTTATAAGCTTTGTGACAGACGAAACAAGTGGATTTTTTACGAATGTGTGGGGACCCTATCTACCTAGTGTGGTAAAAATACTTAATAGTCAGCAAGAGGTTCTGCATGTTTCTCCTTGTATATAAAATGAGGGATAAACACCACGTGACGTTTGGACAGCTACCTGCTCACTGGAGAAATATCCATGCACCTGCTCTATGGCTTTGATCCGCTGATCAGTCAGGACGCACTGAAACACAGAGTCATACATTAACAAACAATTAAATGTTCAATTGCATAGTGTATTTGAGATAGGACACACCTTACCTTTTTTATTTCATCCAATACTATATCAAATGACTTCTTATCCATGTTTGTTGATTAAAACAAACGTTCGTCTCTTTATCAGTAAAGTTATTATACCACGCAGTTGGTAAATACAGTTTTAACAGTACAAAAGACAATATGATTTAACATAAAATGCATTCGGATGACTTAATACTATGTCAATGATCCAACGCTATTGATTTAAATTCATAATGCTGCAAAAGCTTAGTTCATAACATTGCATATTTGCAGTAAAACATTAGCTCCCAAATAAAGTAGCATGATCTTTACAGTCCATGTGTAAAAAACTATTTTCCACCAGCGAACAATGACTTCCAAACAACAGAAGCTGTGTCTGCAGAGCAAACCCTGTCTTCACCAGAATTGTCCGCAGCTAACAACAAGCTAGCCAGCTAAAGCTACCTTAATTCTGATCACAGCTCACGAAAAATACACTAAATAAAGCGGATTTCTTTGCACATCTGTTCATTCAGGCTTAGCTTAAATTTGATGCAAGCGATAGTTACGATGGAGATTGGAAAATGTGGAAATTCATGAACAAATTCATAATAACGCGCTAGGATAGATAGCAGCACAGATGCTCTGTAGCTTCCTCTGACAGCTGGCGCTAGTAACGTCAACACCGGGAAAGGACCCACGAGAGACTGCCTGTCTAAAAAGACGCCAAGTATCACATATTGTAAAAAAGATTACACTATTACAGCTAGTTTTGGTATTGTTATGGCTACAAGGAGTTTAGTTACATCCAACATAACCATTAAGATAATTAAACGTAACTTTTATTATTTTGATGTTCTGTTTGAGTGATTCTAATCAGGCACATTCAGGCGAGTTGTGGAAAGCGTACAGGAAGTAAACATAAAATGGTCTCGGCAGAGGAGTAGAATTAGGAATATTATCTAAAATACCAAAAATGGACCGCTTTTCGTGGTCAAATGGGCTCTTAGAAATTAACGAAACTTTGGTGATTCAGCAGCGGGGTGTCAGGCTGTATGACGGCGATGATAAGGTATACTTCTGATACAACAACACAATACCTCAAACTTACATGCAACATTGAAAAGCTTAATAATAACACACCACTTTTGATGGTGCACATTCGGTAATGATGTGCAGCTACATAGTTAAAGTCTAGGTGATCAGATATAAGTACACAATGTATTTTTTTGTCGTTGTACCAGGCTAAACTGGATGTTGGAGTGGCCTTGTTGAGCACACATCGGTTGATCTGGAGGGACGTTAAAAACCATGTAAGACAGCATTGATAGTGCGGAGAGTTTGTGCTATTGTTCATATATTTGTATTTTCACATTTGCCGACTCTCATGATGATTCACTATTTCTCCTGTCACCTGTAGGAATGCTGTATTGCCATGCCTCTGTCACAGATTCTCTTATTTGAGGAGCAGGCTGCAGGGATAGGAAAGAGGTGAGTGTCAGGAAGTATATTGTGTGGTTTCTATCAGCAGAATTGAGAAGTATTGTTTAAGTAATTCATTAAGAATAAGCACATTTTACGTGTTTTGTGTTTTCTTACCGTAAAGTTCACCTATTATGCAAAATCCACTTTGTCATGTCTTTTATACATAAACATGTGTCCCCTCTGTGTAAAGAGACTCTGAAAGTCTCAAGAAAAAAGACCCCCTCTCTTTGTGTCCTGATCCATTTATATAAAAACCTGTCTGAAAATGAGCTGATCAGATTGTGGCTACTTTATGATGTCATAACGTTTTTTGGCTT